ACTGGGGTGAGCTGAGTGTGGGGGGGGGGGGGGGCGATACTGGGAATCAGTCCTGGCTTTGTTGCATTGCATAGTGCTGTCAGTCTAACAATGATAGCAGAGAGCAGAGTGAGCACAAGAATAACATCATCAGTTTTCTGCTGCTATATAATTGTCTAATCAGCAGACTAGTGTGGGTACTGTGCAGGGTGCAGCTTACAAAAATATATTGGGCATTAGGAAGGCAATATCAATGTGGTCGAGTGAGTAACCAGCTTGCATAAAGTGCCGCAGTAATAAATAATGGTTTCCCAATGCCAGTTAATCTTTTTGATGATAGGTAACAATGTAACATTTTATGGCACTGTATTTCTATTGTATCATGACTCCAACAACTTTCTGGATTTAATCTAATGGAAGCAAATATCATGTCTAGTAATCTAGTAGTAACCGAGCTTAATATAGATTCTATTTATATCACAATTGGATCTCTGACTATAATGTTTCAATTGATTTAATTTGTCTTATTTCATTTTTTCACATGAATTAATCTTTTTGATTTAAATTAAAATATTGCAAGGTGTAGCCTACAGGATAATTCCTCATACATTTATATAGAAATGGCTAGGTATTAATACCACAATAATGCCAACTAAAGAGAAGAAAATATCGTAAATCATTTATGATATAGTTAAAATAATGTTTTTTTATTCAGTCTACTAAGATATTAGTACTTCAAACTGCTAACTATATTTTACACAAATAATTAGAAGATGCATTTCTGGAAACATTGTATGAGTACAAACATTTTGGCTGATTTACTTGTTGGATTGTCTTACAGCAAGAGAAACTTGGGGACATCTGCTTCTCTCTCCGCTACGTACCCACGGCTGGCAAGCTCACAGTTGTTATTTTGGAAGCAAAGAACCTCAAAAAGATGGATGTTGGTGGTTTATCTGGTAAGTGACGCCTAGCTACACGTGAATAACTGTGTTTGCAATTAAATCTGAAAGAGATATGAATACTAATAACTTCTAGGTTTCTCGTTTTTAAGTCAGTGCTTTAGATAGTAAATCATGATTTATTTTTTCTGGTATCGTTTATGTTTGTTTTCATGATATGTAAGGCAGCACATGCACTAAATCCTTAGAATATTAAAACAATAATAATATGCCTATTCTTTCCTGTACAACTTGTAGAATAATGGTCCATTTATATGTGGTCTTCAGAGTAAAACACGTGTAGATATTTCTATATTAAAAATCTTTAGTATTGGTATGTTCCAGTCAATAGTTCCCTTGTAAGATGCATGCACTTAGGGATAGATTGGTCTTGTGCAATGATTCCTATTCCATTAGGAATCTGAAAATATGTATATGACCTTGAAATTGTTAGACTACCAACTGGGGTGCACATATCACTCAGTGATTGCAAAACAACCTATCACATCTTTGTCCGTTATGTATAAAGAGTTGAAAACCACCCTTCTCATTGTTTCATATGATTAGAAAAAACTATGAAGCACAAGGTAAACAATAAAAAGTAAGAATTACTTTTTTATTGAAATCATTGTTGATTAACACTGTTGTGGCCATCACTGAGAATTCACTGACTCTGATTGGCTCTGTACTTTGTGCCTATAATCTCCACCATTTAATAAAAGCAGGATCATGGGCATCGTGCATGCACAACAGTAGATTAAATTCCCTCTAACACAGTCACCAGAACAGATAACCCTATTGGAATATAGGCTTTCCCCTGCTCTGGTTAAAGCCAAAATATTTTTGCATTTCTTATAATGTTTGTCGCAGTGTTGATAATCATCAGGGCAAATAGAGATCATAACTCTCACCGGGGGGAGATGCCCAGAATCTCCATACTTGGGACACAGACACTAAAAAAAACACCAAGATAGACACATGGGACTACAGTTCTTAAAATAGTTTACAATAGCCACAGAAAATGGTTATTGGCAATCTCATATTTTAACCTGCACTATTAAGAAGAGCAACACATTTGAGGCTGATCTACTAAAGTAGTAGAGAATGGTAACACAATAATGTGTGTGAAAATTCACTTCAATTAGCCAATCAAGTGAAAAATCCTTGTTTACTTATTTCATCCACACATGTTTGGATAATTGAAGTGAATAATCTTTCAATTTATTGTGTAAACTTTCATAGCTGGACAGGACATTAGAATTTGGTTACTAAATTTGGATAAATTATAAATTTATCTATAAATAACCTAAATGTGTATTATAACAAGATTTTATGCATTTAATTTAAAAGCTTTTTCAAAGTACTTCTGGAATAACAACTGCAGAAATATGCCTTCCCATCTGCTGTTAAAATAATTCTGCTCCAGGGAATACTTTTAAATGCTCAACATTAGCATGCAAATTACCATACATATTTTTTGCCTTTATTGGCCTTTGTTGTGAAATAAAACCAGCAAAAATCAATCAGTTAGTGTTCATAGATTTGTACATGTACTCTTAATAAATCATGCATGGCTACCATTCATGATCAACCTAAAAGCAACCAGTACTTTAAAGTAGAAGAAAAGGCATCACAATAACTCACCTGTCAAATGTAGGGCCCCCTTTGCTCTGACCCTCCCTATATACTTTGTGGAACGAAATACTTTCTGACCAGCTTTTTTAAGGTTTTTTATGCAATCATGTGATTGCTAAGCTCTAGCTAGTCTTGGTAGTGTTGAGGCCCAAAAACCCCTGTGAATATTAGGGAGCCATGATGTCATCCCTACGGAATCCATAGCTCCCAGCATTGTTGTCCAGAAGTGCTGCCCATCGGTCACAGAGAGAGGAATGACCTTGAACACTGAAGTTTTGCAGTTATGTGACCGCATAGAAAACTGGGATTCAGAAATAGATTGGTTGCAAAATGTATACAGGAAGGATCAAAATAAAGGGAAAGAACATTTTGCAGGTCAGTTATTGTGATCTTCTACTTTTGTAAAGGAAAGAGCAATGGTAACATATAATTGTTTACTATATACCACCACTGCAACATAGAAAAAAAAATATTCCTACCCTAGATATGTTAAAAAATATATATATATATACTTAGATAGAACATACATTTTAAAATATGCTAAAAGAAATCTCACTTTTCCTATAGGCCTTTAAAGCTGAACTCCAGTCAAATACAGGAGACACAAATTAATTCAGTTCTGTAACCATTAATACATCATTAATGTATTTTTATTGCAAGCAGTGTGATTACCTGAATTTGACCTGGTAACACACAGATGAATTTGACCTCTTGTACATCAGAGATCACAGAGCAACACAAGGAGACAGTAAGGCTTGTTGTAGTGCAAGGAGCATGATGATAGTAGGAGGGAGCAGTGTGTCAGAGAGATGAGCTCTTCAGCATGCTGCTTCCCCTTTCACTGTCCAGTCTCAGGGTGAGAATGGGGAAGAGAAATGCAAGTGAAAGTGAAACTGAAACAGAAAAAAAGGGAGGTTGAGTACCTTCCCTGCTAGAGAGGCCTGTGCTGTGTTGCAAACCTGTGAAAATCTCAGATCTGGATGGACAGAAGTACACATCCTTTTGGCAAGTAAACAGCTCTCATATATGTATTTCATCTGTGTATTTAGCTGTTTGCCTGGAAATCAGCATTGATCTTTTCGGGAATGTCTCATCTGCTACTGTAAATTACAAATAGCTCAAGCTAGGCAAGTAGCATATGTTCTTAATCATCAAATGATAAAATAACAATATATAAGCTGATGAAATTGGTTGATAAAATGTTTTATTGTAAACATGGTCTTTTGTGTAGCCATGTTATCAGATATAAAAAGGCCCCCATACTGACAGACTTGTCAAATTGATCTCTACAGTTTTGTTTCATAAGCACGTCTGTGCAGCTACAAGCTCACATGAAAGCTGCCTTTTCTCATGAAAGAAGCACTCTAAGTCCAGCTAATTCTGTCTTAGAGATTTATATTTCAGTAACTGAGAGAACTCTCACTGTGATTCTGGCTTCCAGGAGAGAGAAGCATAAAGAAACAGTTTGGCCTATATTTGACAAATTATAAAGGTTTTGATAAAAGTATTTCAGCAGATTATAGAAGCTTTTGAATTGAAAATACTACTTTCGACAGAAGGCCAGAATGTTTGCTATTTACACAAGAGTTTGCTTGCTCCTGGGCATTCATGTACAGCTTTCTATGTTTACAGTCATCTTTTGCTTCATTATTTACAGTACTGGTGTATCCGAATGCTAATATATTCTGCAAAGAAAAATGCTCCAGTACTCTGATCCACTGTGCAGTAACCTGAGATCCCTGGTACATATCTTTCTCAGCTTACCCTGGGGCCTCTTTTAGGATCATTCTGACATGTCTCCATTTTGTCTAAATTCATGTAGGAGACATTTTGTCTCCTACAGTATAAAATTGGCAGCTCAGTTTTATTGCTATGAAATCCTCTCTACATTAAACATGTGTTTGAGAAATGTATGCATTTTTATTCTATAGAGCATTGAGCTGACAAACAGTTGAAATATGACATGTTTTATGCAAATAAAGTGTGCCGGTACACTCTGTCTAATATTAATCTCCTGTACTTAGTAACAAGGCAAAGAAAATTAGATGTCAGTATACTGGAGAGCAGATGGTTGGCATTCTGCCCCAAGACACCTGAGATATATTGGTCATGACCTCTGTACTTGATGCAGTTGATGAACAGCCTCTAATTCTCTGGTGTCTGAGCCATATTTGGATGTAAATTCAGTATAGATGTTTTCTTTAAATGTATTTTTGAAAATAATTTTATGTACTTAGTAACTTATTTAATTCATTACTATAGACATATTCCATGGGGCAATACAGAGTGCATAGACCATGAAATTAATTTTCTTTAATGGGGATGTATGTGCTTTTGAAGTTTAGTCACTTGCAAAATGAAAACATAGAATAGGAATTATAATACATGAGGTTAAATATTGTGCATACATAATAACATCTAATTGATGTACTCCTGGCCTCATTATTCATGACTGTGAGGCTTAGTGTGTCTATGTGACTGCTTCATTTCATATGTGCACTTTTGCTTGGGCAGATAGTTATTTTTTGTATGTAAAAAACATGTGGGTATAACTGACGGACCTCTGTGATGATGTATATTCTCCCTTCCTAATATTTCAGGTGTAGTCTGTTCCTACATGGGCAATGTCCTAGAAAACTAGGACTGTTTTTCATGAAAAAGGATCTTCCTATCCCCTAAACTTTACCTCTTCCTGTTTCTGTGTGGATCCCCCAAGGTGCTTTCCTTGGACCCCTTCTATTCTCTATCTACACCTCCTCCCCGGGTCAGTTGATAACCTCCCATGGTTTACAATACCATCTCTATGCTGATGACATACAAATCTATCTCTCCACTGACTTCACCCCTTCTGTCTCCTAATGCATCACTAATCTAATCACTGATATATTAACATAAATGTCATACCACGTCCTCAAACTCAACCTGTCCAAAACTGAGCTTATAATATTATCTCCTCTCCGTGTCTTCTCTATCACAATCAACAGCACAACAATCACCCCCTCCCTATAAGCCAGCTCCACATCCAATATACATATCGGCTACTCAACCTCATTTCCAAAATGTGCTCTTTTTTAACAAATGACACAGCAGAGCTTTTAATTCACTCCCTTGTAATCTCTCGCCTCAACTACTGTAACTCCCTCCTTGTTTTCCTACCACTACACAGGCTACCCCCCCTTCAATCTATCATGAATTTTGCTGCCAGACTCATCTACCTTACCAACCATTCAGTGTTTGCCACCCATCTTTGCCAAGCTCTCCATTGGCTCCCACTTGCCCAATGAATACAATTCAAAACACTAACAACAACATACAGAGGTTTATAACTCTGCCCCTAACTACATCTTCAACCTAATCTCAAAATATCAACCAGACCATCATCT